ACCTCCAGTGCCCCCGTCTTCTTCACCACCTGGCATTCCTTCGTGGCGGCCCCAATTCCGACGTCATGCCCAGGATTGGCCTTCCTCCCACGCACGTCGGGTACGACGGCGAGAACGGCATCAAAAGCTCCGCGATGCGCCTGGCGGTCGCCACGAAAGTCTACCACAGCATGAAGGAGAACATCAAGCACGAGCCCAAGAAGTATTACGACGCCACGCAGTCCGCCCGACACGCCTTCCGCCTGCCCTCCGACCTGAGCGGAGGCGCGGGACGCGCGGCGGCGCCGCCCCGTGGCTAGGCGCGAACAGACGTCCCCGCCAGGGTACGTTCGCTCCTCCTCTTCCTCCTCCCTTTCTCCTCCTCCTCCCTTTCTCCTCCTCCTCCCTTTCTCCTCCTCCTCCTTCTCCTCCTCCTCCTCCTCCTCCTCCTCCTTCTCCTCCTCCTCCTCCTCCTCCTCCTCCTCCTCCTCCTCCTCCTCCTCCTCCTCCTCCCCCTCCTCCTCCTCCTCCTCCTCCTCTTCTCCTCCTCCTCCTCCTCATGCTGCGCTCGAAGCTTAACACGGCGAGGGCCCGCAGGGGGCCCCCCGAAGTCCACGGGGCGCCCGCCGCGAGGGGCAGGCACCGCCGCCCGGCCTTCCCTGGGCCGGGCCGTTGCTGGCAGGGAATCCAAGGATCGAGCGCGGATGGAAGCCGGAGAGGGCACAGAGGGGAGACGGGGGAGGCCAGGGGAGGCCAGAGGGCAGGCTGGGGGGGGGGGGCCAGGGGAGGCTGGGGGAGGCCAGGAGAGGACAACCCAGAGAGGAAGCGGGGGGGGCCAGGGAGAACGAGGCGCTGGGAGGACGGAGGAGGCGCGGGAGGGGCAGGCGGGAGCAGAGGCGGCATTTCGAGAATAGGGGAGTGGCGGGGGGGAGATCCGCAGCGGAGGAAGAGAACGAGGAGGCGCAAGAGGATGTGGAGGAGGGGGTGGTCGAGGAGGAGGAAGCTGAGGAGGAGGAGGAGGAGGAGGAGGAGGAGGAGGAGGAGTGTCAGGAGGATCGGCAGTAGCTAGAGGAAGGGGGTTGACGAGGAGGAGGAGGAGGAGGAGGAGGAGAGGAAGAGGAGGAGGAGGAGGAGGTGGAGGGGGAGGAATGCAAGTGAGGTGCGAGGAGGGCGATGCGACGGTGAGGGGCTTGTAAGGGGAATGGGAGGATGAGGGCGCAGAAGAGGAGGAGAACCAGGAGTAGGTGCAGGTGCAGGCGGATGTTCAGATGGAAATGGCGGAGTAGGAGCATGAGAGCGGCGACGACGGCCACGTCGTGTGCGATGGCGAAGACGTCCACGAAAGCATGGACGACGACAAAGACCTCCGCGATGACGGGTTGAAAATCCCTAAGGAGACAGACACCAGCGGGCATGTTTTGTCGAACCTGGTCGTTTTGATGCAACAGTAGCCAGGTGGGACAAACAGATTTTGGGAAGCATGGTGGAAGCAGAAGAGTGACACGTAAAGAGGGCCCAAAGAGTCTTCAAACACAGTTCGAATGAGCACCCACAGCTTTATCAAGCGGCGGACGAAACCATAAGAGGCAGACTGAGGGGCAGAAGGGGCCTGAGCACACTAGCTTTGACCCCTCTGAACTGCCTCCAGGGGGGCCGGGAAGCGTCCAGGATGGCTCACAAGGGCTTCAAGAGGGTGACCCGACGGTCCAAGATAGCTCCTATATGCTTTGAGGACAACCATAGAGGCCTCCCAAGATATCCCAAGGTGGCCGGACAGGCCCCAATGATGTCACAAAAGGTTTCAAGAGACCTCCAAGAGGCGGAAATATAAGCCCGATGCGGCGGAAAGCGTGAAAACATTGTGGGTGTTTGAATGTGTTTAGCTTCGTTTTGTTTTCGGTTCAACATGAGTCGAAGAGGGCTTCAGAAGGTTTCGAGACGGCTCGAGAATGCCCTACCCACTGGCCAAATTGGCCCGAGATGGCCCCAACAGGCCACCAAGACAGCCCAGGAGGGCTTCTGGGGAGGTCTCAGACGGCGTCCCGAGGTGTTCGGAACTCTCCCGTGCGAAGACATGCCTGATTGCGAAGGCCTTGCGGCCGGCGCTGCCGACCCTGAAGGGGAACGACGACGGCGGCGGCGACGTCGACGACGACGCTGACGTGCCAGAGCCCTTCGGGGGCCCTCTTGGAAGCCTCTTGGGCCCTGTTGGGGGGTCTCTCGGAGGATTTTTTGGGAAGCTCCGTGATCACTTGAAGCAGCCCTGGAGCGGTTTTGAGACTTCATGGAGGCATATAGGACAATACGCAACGCCCGCAACATCTGATAAGACTGAGGAGGGTGCATCCAAGGGAGGGGTCCGGGAGGAGGAGGGTGGGAGCGGTTCCCCTGTCCACAGGGGGAACAGGGGAGAGCTTCTTTTGTCCCCCTTGTCCACAAAGTGAAAGGGAAGGCGGGGGCCCTGAGTTCCTTCCACAGTGGAGACCCATGCCAAGAAATACCCTGCTTGCCTTCAGGGTGCCCTGCGTTTCTTGGGCTTCGATGGTTTGCTACGTTGGAGGGCGTGACGTTCCCACGCCAAAAATCGATGGACGTCCTGGGGTCTCAGGGTTGGGTTTCTTATGGAAGGTTTCTTGTGGTCGAGCCCCTACTGTATCCACAGGGGGGCCACCCCCCAGTCCCTCCTGTCCACATGGGGGGGGACTGGGCGGGGAAGTCGCAGAGGGCCTCGGTCCTCCCTGTCCACACGGGAGGGGGACTCCCCCTGCACAGGGGGCCCCAGCTCTCCCCTTGTCAACAGGTGGAACTGTCTGGAGGGAGGGTGGGAGGGCGGGAGGCTTGACTTCTCTTTGTCCACAGGGGAGCCCGCCCCCCCAGGATCCAATGGGGGGGGCGGCATTCTGATCCCCCTCCCCCGCGCCCCCCTCCCATTCCCCTCTCCCCCCCTGGACCCTTCCCCCAGGGGGAAAGGGATCAAAGGGAAAGGGTATCCTTTCGAGTGAACTACGACGTTTTTTGATTTCCTTGGGACTGACGACGACGACGACGACGACGACGACGACGACGACGAAGACGACGACGAAGACGACGACGGCGACGACGACGACGACGACGACGACGACGACGACGACGTGGACGACTACAGCGTTTTCCGCCCCGACAGGGTCGGCGGATTTGGGGGCAAAGTGGAGGGCAGCGGACGCCCCAGACGCAGCCGGAACCCACGGGCCAGCGGAACGATCAATCCGCGGGGAGGTGTTCAAGGCTTTACGCAAAGAGTAATAAATACCAGACGCGTGTAGGTCAGAGGATTGAGCAAGATATTACAGACCAATCGAGCGGGGATCCAACACGCCGTGCCCGGTGGGGCGGCGGATCACTTCGCCCACTTCGCTGGCCCATACGCACTGTAGCATCGTTGGCAATTGCCTGCGTGCTCGCGGGGGCATTTGGTGGGCCTCTTTGGGGCCTCGTGCGGCCTCTTGGCGGAAGGCTGAGGGCCGCTGGGGTCCTCCTAAAAGCCTCCTAGGACCTTCCTAGGAGCCTTCTGGCAGTCTCCGATGCCACCTTTGGGAGGAGGGCTCGAAATCTCAGTTCAGGCTTCCCCTCCTGGGCTCCTCCCGGGAGCCTCTTGGGCCCTCTTGGGGGGCCTCTCTCTTGGGCCATCTTGGGGACGTTGGCCGTCAAGGGGCCCTCGTGGGGGTCTCTTGGGCCGTTTTGGGGCGATCTTGGGGACCTCTTGGGCCGTCTTGGAGCGCTCCGGAAAGCCCAAAAAGGCGCAAACGCTAAGACCTTTCAAAACCTGCAGGAAAGTTGTGCCTCACAGGGCCCTCTGTGGGGTCCTCTTGGGTCGCTCTCGGGGCGTGTTGGAGACCTCTTGGACCGTCAAGAGATGATATCAGACGTCCTGGAGCGCTCTTGGACCGTGTCGGACCCTCCTGGGCTCTCGAGCAGACCCCGCGGAGCGTTCCTGGAGCACTCTGAGGCCAAGGCCGCGCTTAGGGCGAGCACCGTCTCTCAATCGAGTCGTTTGGATGTCGTCCAGGAGTGTCCCGGAGTATTTCTCGTCGGGAGGGCAGGGGCCACCACGCGCGCGCGAACTAGAGCGATCCGGAACCTTTGACCGAAACTTTTAGCCCGCCTTCAGCCCGTTCGGCCAGCGAGCGTTCTTTTCCCTTTGCATTGACTTGTCATGCTCCTCTGCCTCTAGTTCCTCCCCTTCTGAATCCCCCCGCTTGAACTGAAAGCTGACTTCCGATTCGACCTCTTCCGCCAGCCTCGATGTTGTGCTAAGATTTCCGGACTCTAAGCTCGGTCTCCCAGATCCCACCCCCGCTGTCGACAGATTCTGGATTTCAGATTCGGCCTTCTCCGCCAGTCTCGATCATCCTCATCTCGCTCCTCATTGGTCGTACAATCCCCCAGGCTGTCTGTTCGGACTCTAGATTCGGCAGTCTCCTGGTTCTGATCTTCCTGCAAGTCCAGATACCTCCAGAGTCGGACTCCCGAGTTCCTGATTCGACCAGTGTCTATCCTCTAGTACACGTCTTCATTGTCCTCATCCTGGGCCATCCTCCTGATGCTGGTGCTGATCCTCGGAATCCACATTCCGAACTCGAACTCTGGAGTGTACCCGCTCCGCGAGCTTCGACTCCAGACTGCAGATTCTGAGTGCGTTCGGACTCCAGAGTCAGACTCCCCCGTCAGACTCGATGCCAGATTCCCAGTTCTGGATTTGACAGAGTTGCCTCTTCCATACTCTTCCTTTACTCTTCCTCCGATTCCTGAGTTCAGATTAAAGGTTTTAATTCAATGGTTCTTCAGCGAATCTGGATTCGGGACTCCGATGTCGACGTTATCCGCCAGCCTTGAGTCGAAATTCTCGATTCCAGATTCCAGGTTTGGAGTGTCTGGGTGTCGATGAGTGCTAGTCTCATTCCACATTCCAGATTATGTCTCGGGAGTTGTGTTTTCGAATTGGACCTCCTCGGCCAGACCACCTGGATAATTTTGTCTTACAGGACTTGGAGAAGGAGATCAAATACGAGGAGAGCGACTTTGGGCAGGCCGTACCGAAGGGCGAGGAAGAGAAGAGGCTGGAGAGGCTGGGAGATCTCCTGGACGAGGTTGACCCCAAGAACGCGTCCGAGATGGCCGACCTGGCGGCGGCACTGGCCCAGGCCAGGAGGAGGCCGACCCGCAAGGCAGCGGCAGCTTCCAGCGAGGACGTGTCTGAGGCCGATTCCAAGGTCGTGGATGCCATGAAGAGCTGGGTCCAGGAGGCCAAGCAGGCTTCTCAGGACCTGGAGAGGGAGACCAAGTACGAGGACAGCGACTTTGGGCAGGCCGTGCCGAAGGGCGAGGAAGAGAAGAGGCTGGAGAGGCTAGGGGACATCCTGGACGAGGTTGACCCCAAGAACGCGTCCGAGATGGCCGACCTGGCGGCGGCACTGGCCCAGGCCAGGAGGAGGCCGACGAAGGCAGCGGCAGCTTCCAGCGAGGACGTGTCTGAGCGGCAAGGTCGTGGATGCCATGAAGAGCTGAGGAGGCGCAGGCTTCTCAGGACCTGGAGAGGGAGACTACGAGGACAGCGACTTTGGGCAGGCCGTGCCGAAGGTCGTGGATGCCATGAAGAGGCTGGGTTCCAGCGAGGACGTGTCCAAAGGTCGTGGATGGCTTCAGGAGGCCAAGCAGGCTTCTCAGGACCTGGAGAGGGAGACCAAGTACGAGGACAGCGACTTTGGGCAGGCCGTGCCGAAGGGCGAGGAAGAGAAGAGGCTGGAGAGGCTAGGGGACATCCTGGACGAGGTTGACCCCAAGAACGCGTCCGAGATGGCCGACCTGGCGGCGGCACTGGCCCAGGCCAGGAGGAGGCCGACCCGCAAGGCAGCGGCAGCTTCCAGCGAGGACGTGTCTGAAGCGGACTCCAAGGTCGTGGATGCCATGAAGAGCTGGGTGCAGGAGGCCAAGCAGGCTTCTCAGGACCTGGAGAGGGAGACCAAGTACGAGGACAGCGACTTTGGGCAGGCCGTGCCGAAGGGCGAGGAAGAGAAGAGGCTGGAGAGGCTAGGGGACATCCTGGACGAGGTTGACCCCAAGAACGCGTCCGAGATGGCCGACCTGGCGGCGGCACTGGCCCAGGCCAGGAGGAGGCCGACCCGCAAGGCAGCGGCAGCTTCCAGCGAGGACGTGTCTGAAGCGGACTCCAAGGTCGTGGATGCCATGAAGAGTTGGGTCCAGGAGGCCAAGCAGGCTTCTCAGGACCTGGAGAGGGAGACCAAGTACGAGGACAGCGACTTTGGGCAGGCCGTGCCGAAGGGCGAGGAAGAGAAGAGGCTGGAGAGGCTAGGGGACATCCTGGACGAGGTTGACCCCAAGAACGCGTCCGAGATGGCCGACCTGGCGGCGGCACTGGCCCAGGCCAGGAGGAGGTCGAATCATAATGCGGCTATCAAGTCCAGCGTGGACGTCCAGAAGGGTGAGGAAGAAAAGCGGTTGCAGAGCTTGGCCGAAGCGGACGCTAAGGTCGTAGAGGCCATGCAAAGATGGGTCCAGGAGGCCAAGCAGGCTTCGCAGGACCTAGAGAGGGAGACCGAGAAGAGCGATGTTGCGGAGTCCGCGCCGAAGGGCTGGAAAAGAGTTCAGAAGCAGCTGGAAGAAAAGAGGTTGGAGAGGTTGGGGCGCATTCTGGACGGGGTGGACCCTGCGAACGAGTCCGAGATGGCCGACCTCGCTGCGGCACTGGTGGACCCCAAGAACACTTCCGACGTGGCCGACCTCGTAGCGAAGCTGGTCCGGGCCAGGAACTCGAAGGCAATGAGCCGGCAGGAAACGAGCAACCAGCTCGAATCCGCCATCGACGCCGCGATCAAAGACTTCCCCGAGGACTGTGGCCAGTCGGCCACACCCTTATGGCCAGGGGGTGCCAAAGGAGGAGGAGGAAAATAAGGAGGAGGATGAGGAGGAGGAGAATGAGGAGAAGGAGGAGGAGGAGGGAGGGAGGGAGAGAGGGGGAGGAGGAGGAGGAGGAGGAGGAGGAGGAGGAGGAGGAGGAGGAGGAGGAGGAGGAGGAGGAGGAGGAGGAGAAGGAGGAGGAGGAGGAGACCAGCCCACCGAGCGCTGCCTGAGGATGTCCTGCCGGCTCAGATGGAGAAGATCCTGGAGCGGGTGCAGGGCCTGATCGACCAGACGGACCCCGCGAACCGGAGCCAGCTGGCCCACCTCGCGGCGCCACTGGCCAGGCCCCTCCTCCTCCTCCGTCCCTGGACGTTTTTGAATGGTGCACTGCTCGAGGCCCTCGAGGTTTCGTGTCCCTTGTTTCTTCGGTCGGGTCCCTTCGCTCGTCCTGTGTCTGGGTACCTGGGTCCGTCCCTCGTTCCCCTTTTCGGTCCCTTTCGGGCCCCTCGCTCGTTGTCGTCGACTTCGGGCAGGAGTGATTGGCAGGCGATCACCCGCGAGCAAATCAAAAGAAAAAAAAAAAAAGTTGAGAACACCCCCACCATCCAGAGGGAAAAGTTGCGCAGGGGGAAAGGCAAGAGAGGGAAAGGCAGAGGAGAGGGCAAGGGTCAGCAGCAGTGATTGTTGGTCCCCACCGTGGGCCCCTCGTCAGGCTGCGTGCCGAATTCGTGTGCCTACAGGGGCCGTGCGGCGTCCATCGAGAGCCACGGGCCGCGCTAGATGGTTTGGCGGCATCAAGTTTCGCCCCCCAGAGTTCACCCTGCCCCGCCCCTCATGGCAGTTAGCTGGCAGGCGGTAAGAAGCAGCAGACGAACTCCAACGGGCCTGATTATGATCCTGATCCTCCCCCTCCTCCTCCTCCTCCTCCTCGTCCATTCTTTCTCCTTATAACTAATTTCTCCCTGTCGCCCCCCGAGGCCAGTTTTCAGGGCGGGCCGGGCGTTTCGCCTGAGACTTCCTCACCACTTATGACCCTGAAGCTTAAACATTGGCAAACGTTTCACAGATGGAGGGCGGGTGGTTTTCAAAATGGACTCGCCTTAGCGCCGCGCAAACTCGTTCTCAAAATCTGCAAGTGGTTAACGGATTGAGGGCGGCTCGTTTTCATTGTGTAGCTCTCGCCTTAGCGCCGCGCACATTCGTTGTTAAAAATTACAAGAACTTCAGGAATTGAGGGTGGCTCGTTTTTTAAATGTGGCTTTCGCCTTAGCGCCGCGCACATTCATTGTAGAAAAATTACATGAGCTTCACGGATTGAGGGTGGCTCGTTTTCAAAATGTGGCTTTCGCCTTAGCGCCGCGCACATTCGTTGCAAAAAATGCAGGAGCTTCACGGATTGACGGTGGGTCCTCTTCCAAGTGTAGTTCTCGCTTAGCGCCGCGCACGCTCTTGTTAAGCAATTGCACGAGTTCCATTGGTTCCCATGATCGACGTACCAGAAATGGTTTTGGAAGGATTCACGAGTATGGGGGCGCAACAGTTACGATGATGGGCGGTGTTGACGTCCCAGGAATGGCGTCCGGGCGCGATTCAGGACCGTCAAGACGCAACAGCCAGGTTTACCCATGGCGTTGAAATGCCGAGAACACTGTTCTGGCATGCTTCAGGGTCTTCAAACGGATGTATTCGAACGAGACAGGTCCCTCTGGAAATGAACCGTTGCAGGGGCCTATGAAGAGGGAATCTGGGGGGAGGGCTTATTCCAACATCGTTGGTGACCCTTGGGTTTACACTGGTCCTCCTTGTCCTCCTCCTCCTCCTTTTTCTTGTCCTCCTCCTTGTCGCCCCTGCCATACAGTTGGGCCCTGTGAGGATGAGGTGCTTTGCCAAATGTGTATTATATCCTTGCTTTGTTTCTTCTCTGCCCCAGCTGGCCAATCTTGCTGGCCAGCCAGCGCTCAGCGCACTTTGGAAGCCCAAGCGCCTCGCATCCTTTTTGGTTGCCCCCGGAAGCAGCGTGCGGGAGGCAGTGGTTTTGGCGGACTGGCCAGAGCGGAATGGGATGGCAGACGCACGTCTGTCGCTTTTGGCCCAAGCACGGACGCGATGGGCACACGGCAAATCTGGCCGTGCAAACGCTAGCATACCGTGGCTTCCATTTGACCATTCCACGCGACCGGCCGCCCGGCCGCGCCGACAACGCTGGTCGCACCTTGTGGCGCCACCACCAGAAAGAGCCAGTCCACTCGCCAGGACCCCAGACACCCGACGTTATGAATTTTTCACTATGTGACCCCAAGGGTCTGGACCCCTTCCCAGGGACTGACTTCTCATCCTGAGCAGTTTGTGATGGTCCCGAGACCCGGTGAGGACCCGTGGGGTCCAAAAATGGAGAAAATCGTCCGCCGTGATTTTTATGGCATGAGCTGGCTTCGCCGGCGGTGGTTTCGCTGGCGCTGGTTTCGCCCCGCTGGTTTCGCCCCGCTGGTTTCACTGGCGGCTGGTTTCGCTGGCGCTGAAGTCGCCGGCGCTGGATTCGCCGACGCGAGCTTTAGCGGGCGGGTGGGGTCCGGCGGGCGGACCCTAGCGGGCGGGTCGGGTCGGGTCGGGCGGGCGGATCCTGACGGGCGGGTCGGGTCAGGCGGGCGGGACATTGAAGTGTTGGGCGCTCTCGACCGAGCACGCGCGAACCCTATTGGGCGGGTCGGGTCGGGCGGGCGGACACTAGCGGACGGGTCGGGTCGGGCAGTTTCACCGACGGCAGCTGGTTTCGTCGACGGCAGCTGGATTTGCCGATGGAGCTGGTTGCGCCGGGCGGCGACACCAGCCGGGCGAAACAAGCCGTCGGCGAAACCAGCGGTCGCCATTTTTATCACGACTCGAGGGGGTCTGGGAGCGTCGGCCAAATTGTGGCATCGTAGAGTGGAGTTCCGCCAGAGCGAGTCTGGCAGCTTGTGCAAGGGAGCGTTAGATAGTAAATCACAGGAGCTTCCGCTCGTCTCGTATTGAATGTATATCGGCGAACAGAAACCAACAGCGCCCAATAGCGCACAATAGCACCCAATAGCACCCAGCAGCGCCGAATAGCATTCAAATAGTGCCCAAGAGTACATGTAGCGATCAATAGCGCCCAATATCGCCATGTGAGGGTGATGCATTGTGTCCGCTTTGCGCGCGACTGGGCGCGCTGTTTGGCGCCATCGGGACGACCAAAAGCTTCTGCGACGTGCGTTGTAAGAGTCCGCCACGCGCAGAGGGGCGGCTGGGGGAGGGGGGCAGGTTTCTTAGAAGGAGGCTGCTTCTAAGAAGCCTCCCCCCTCACCACATCTCCCCTGCGCGCGCCGCCAACATTGAGCGCCATCGGGACGACCAAAAGCTTCGGTGAGTTTCACGACCCACCAAACCACCCCAACCCAACCCGAGGCCCCAATGTTTCCTCCATTCCCAGTGAAGGCGGGGGGACATTCCGGAACATGGAGGAAACATATATGGAACCCGCACATGCCCGACCCGAAACTTGGGACTTCGAGTTGGGTTGGGTTCGTCTGGAAGGTAACTTCTAGAGGCCTTGAGAACCCCCAGAGTAGTGGACACGACTTATCTCTTCGAAACTTTGGCGCCCTTCTGGACGGACTGGGGTGTCACCCGTGGAGGAGCACGAGGAGGAGCAGGAGCAGGAAGAGGAGGAGGGGCGAGTTTGTTCCCCCTTGAGATCCGACGCAGCGAAAAGTTGCAACGTCGTCAAAGATCATGCCCGTAACCCTGGGCCCCATCCTTCTGCGTCATGTTTCGAGCCGGATCGTTCCGTGAGGGTCCCAAGGCCCGAGGCGGGGCGAGAGCGCCCGTCACGAAAAAGTTGCAGCGCCAGGATCTCAGGGCCCGAAGAGAGATACAGAGGGGGAGCAAAACGAAAGACCTCCTAAGGTTACGCAGCGCTGTTTTCTCAAAGAGAGTCGGGCCAGTCCCATTCCAGCAGTGGCGAAGCGCACTGGCTCGCCGATAGGCCCACCAAAGAATGCTCCAAGAACCTTTTTGTGATTTGCACGAAAGTTCTTAGGACATGTCTGGCCGAGACTGTCATGTTTCATCACCTCGGCCTCATGTTATAAGAACAATGTGATAAGAACCTTGCTTCTGCGATTCGAACACTGTTGGGTTCCAATTGCACGTCGTGGTAATCGTATAGGAATGCCGGGACGGTCGGTCCCTGCTCAACTCGAGGTTAGAAAGTGTTGTTTTCTGCGAGAGCGCCGGGCCAGTCCCACGGGCCTCGCGGCCTGCCGGAGGGGGGGCGCCTCGGCCAACCCCCCCCCGCACCGCGGAGATGGAAGGAGCCCGCGCGAGGGCCCGGGCGGCGCCCTTCGGCGCCCAGGGCGCTGCCAGCACCCCAGGCCCCCTCGCGTTGCGACGAAAAGCACGACGGGAGGAGGAGGAGGAGGAGGAGGAGGAGGAGGAGGAGGAGGAGGAGGAGGAGGAGGAGGAGGAGGAGGAGGAGGAGGAGGGGGGGAGGAGGAGGAGGAGGATCACCATTGTCGGCCTCGGGGGGCCCTTTCCAGGGCCTCGGGACCGTCGAGAAGCAACTCGGGATGACAAGCAGGCGAGTCCTTCAGCGAGAGGCAGGCGGCTCGACACGCACAAATCCATCAGGCACGCCTCGGTCGTTTTCGGACAAGAGAGTCGCATGTCTTGTGCGTGCACATGCATGCATTTGTTTAGGGTCTGCCGAGACACGCGCAATTCCCCGTGGGCGTTGTTCGGGGTTATACCGAACCCACGCGATTTCCCGTGGGATCTGTTCGGGGCGCACGGCGCGCTCTTACTTCCATCGCACGCGCGCGTGCCGTCATTGTTTTCATCTGCGTGCGAATGGCAAAATGTCCTTGGTTTTCTTGTAGAGACTGACAGATCCCACGGGGAATTCCTGGGGCTTTTGCTACCAGATGATAAAACGCGTAAGCACTCAGCCAACATCCTGGTAATGCCCTGCTTTGTTGGCCGTCGATTGTCGGGCAGGCAACCGTTCGACAGCCGAGAAGAGACGCGGGAGCGAGGGTTTCCGTACCCACCGTGGCTCAAGGAAGCGCCTCAGCGCATTCAATCTGAGGCCACACTAGGCAAACGAACTCGATATTTTGGTCTCATCACACAATCGTTGTTGATACCTTTGGGAAGCCACTGTTTGATTCGGCGGGGAAGGGGAGACATGACGGACCCAGGAAGTGAGATAGTACCTCTACGTCGGGCCTTTCCAAACCCAGCCACGCGGGTTATGAGCCCAAGGATACACCCAACGGAGGCATCCTCAGCGGTTTGCAGGCCAACTGCCAGATCTGCGACCATATGA